CACACACACACACACACACACACACACACACACAAACACACAAATACACACACAACGGATGTCTTTCAAAAGAAGTGTGATGCTTAATGAAAGAATCAGCTGATAGTGGGAAGAGAAGAGAGTTTGTGATTTTCAAAAGTGAAACATCTTCTGAAGCCTTTGAAAGTTCGAAAACGAAGAAAAAGATAAACGAGAAAGTAAAACGACTTTTTCTTTTTTTAAAAAAAAGAAAATACTGCAATGAAGAATATCAAAATGCTATGAATGAATAAACTTTAACCTTTGAAATGAAATAATGAATACCATTATTCTCAGAGCGTCATATGCCTAAATCCATTATCTCTCCTCCGTCACTGACGTCATTTCATTCCAAAATTTTTGCAAAAATTTGCAAAAGTGGCGAAAAAAAAGACAGATATCAATAAATGAAAAAAAAAACAATGAAATCTTGCAAAAGTGGCGAAAAATATAAAAATAAATAAATGAAAGAATAAGCAATTAGTGATAAGTTATATGTGGAAACTAAGACAATATATCATTTATATTCTTCCCAAAATGTGAAATTTGATATGAAGTCTGCATCATTTAGTTTTATCTTAAACCTTTCAATCAATGATATATTTTTTGTTAAAATAAAATCCCAGAAATTGTTAATAAACGATATGTAAAACATTTATGGACAATAATTCATATTTCGGTATGCTATATTTACAACATATACAGCAGATAATGGAAATATTGGAAGTTAAGTCTTCAAAATCTTCAAAACAACTGACATCATAAATTAACTGAGATTTAATATTTTAGAATTCGAATCATCTCCTACAAAAATGTTCAAATCTACGATTCTACAAAATAAGTGAATAGTTACAACTTATGTAATCACTTCCTTATTGTCAATTACTATGTACTTTCTAGAAAGCATATTTAAACATTGTGATGAGAAGCCTTTGCGTGAGATGAGTGAAAAACGTTGTGACATACCTCGAGATCATGATCAGTTTCAAGACTTTCGTGTTGGGGACACGGTAATGACCAGCGAACAAATTTTGTTTTTATTGGTTCATTCTTGTCGCTTGATGGCTTGGCCATCAACCGCAAATAGTAGAATCGCTGTTCTTCGGAAAGAGCTTTGTCGTTCGATTCTGTACTCGAAAATCGTAACATTTCGTATCTCAGTTATCTTATTGTTGTTAATGGTAATGGTAATGATGATGATGATGATGATGATGAAGGTAATAATGGTAGCGATCGGATAGATAATGATAACTGGCGAGTGAACGATTGTTCGGTACATGTATAATAAAGAGAAGAATGCTATAAATGATTATAGCGGGTAATACGTAGATTTTTCATAAACAGCGTAGAGTAGATACTCCAGAGGAGGATAATAAATCCAAAGCTTTGAGCAAGAATCAGCTTCAAATTTTGGTAGGGTTAATGAAATATACACAGAATGGTTGAGGCTTTTGCCTATGTACCTAAACTTGTCGTAGCGATGTAATTTCGACGTTTAATTGCGAAGGATGGAAAAAAGAGAGAGAGAGAGTATGTGAGTGAATGAATGATCTATGAAGAAACCAACAAATTCATCAACAAATACACAATCTCGAGTAATGCAAACAAGTTTAATCAGCAAAATAAGTTTCTTCAGGTCAATAATATGTCAGAAAAATATGTCGCAAAGGTAGCTGTAACTTTTGTAATATATCACACATCGAAAAAGTATCAATCATTCCAGGCTTTACTCAAACAAACTTCCAAAATTAAGTAAACAAACTGATTCGTTGTTATACACATAAGTTCTTATACCATTGCTTTCTTCAGCAAATGAAATGAATATGATAATGCAGTAGGAATAAATGTCAGTGGAAATTTCACACTTATCAGGGGCAAAGATTGCGTTTCATGAAATTTGTATATCTTCCAAAATGGAAACAATGATGCTGTCGCATTTTGTCATCTAGAAGTATTCATCACCGGATAATATATTAGATGGATTATAGATATACGCGAAATAATACATGAATTGGCAAGAGAATTCCGGTAAGGATAAATGACGCTATAAAATAAGATTGAGAAATGAATGCTTTGGAATCCTAATTAATAAGGAGATGTTTTTGATTAATTTTTGAGGTATTAATATTGAAAACTATAGATGAGTTTCCTTGAAATAGCTACTGATAGTTTTGTTTCTCATTCTTTTAATGAACAGCGTCTCATATCGTAAGGAAGTAGAGTACCGCACGAATTCACTTTAAACTTCAGTTGAAATGGCAATAACCATTTTGGTACTTATTGAACAGAAAAAATTTGTTAGTCTAAGTTACGAACTTATCTAATGTCAGTATAGTTTGCTCGAAAAAACAGAATTGAATTATTAGAGTAGTTTTTACAATACCATTGGTTTTAATGTCACTAGTAATTTCAACTTTAATTATCTAATAATCTTTTTGACAAAACTCAAACTTGTTCTAAATTCAAATTTGGATTTGTTAGCAAAAGCATTATTCCGTTTATAATGTTAATAAGAATAATCAAGAGAATATCAGAAGAAATGTGAAGTTCTTGATGATAGTACCACTTATAAGAATACCAATAACGGTGATGAATAAATGATAAATCCGTTTTGAGCAAAATTGGTAACGATTAAATACGAAGGATTTCAAATTCCCTCATCTATAGGTATATAAATTTAGTATAATATATAGATGTAATAGTCATTTGCAAAGTTCAGTAGCGGAGAGACTGAAATACAATCATCACAAGATAAAAATTAAAAAGATGTGGGAATAACACCGTTCCAGAGGTCAGTTTACCAAGGGGAGAACGGTGTAATCAGTATCTTCGTTTCTAGTGGTGAGCCACTTTACTACACATTGATCGACTAACAGGAAAATGAAAGAAGTTCCTGAACTTCTCATAATGATTAAATTTTTGGAAGACTTAAAAAAAAAAAGAAAAAAGTCTTTCGGGAGTATATGGTGCGGTATAGTTCGGGAGTATTCCCATGATATTGGTTCCGTTTTCGAAAGAGAAGAATGACAGGAAATGGAAGACTTTATCATAATATATGAAGGTTAGCCGAAACTATATGGTTGTTTTGAAGCGGAAAACGTATGGGGTACGAGAGGAGGTAATATTTGTTGCCTGAAAGGCTAAAGAAATGGAAAAGTTTAGGCGCAGAGAGAGAGTGTTTGTGCTTGTATATATTGCATGTGAGTGTGTGATTCGTCCTTATTTTCTCCCATCTCCATTCCGACTCAAGAAGAAGATGATGATGACTATAATTCGCGAAGGCGCAGCTGTCGGGAAGTGAAGCACTCAGGGATATCATCCACGAGCCCAACTCCACTGAAACTACCAAGCAAACCAAAGTTCTATGTAACCATCATCTTCCTCATCCTTTTTGTGTCACAGAAAGAGAGAATGGATGGAAAAACTGCAATTTCCTGACATCTAAGACATTGACTGAGGAAAGTTTGTCAAGAAACTGAAGCTAGCAGCCATTGCGGGTAGCAAGTGGTAGTTTAGAGAAAGACAGAGAAGATAGACGAGATATTGACGGGAAAAGGATTGAAATCCGCGGAGAAATAATAAAGAAGAAAAAGAAGTGATGAGAAGAATTAACAGCTACAATGAAGAAAGCAAATTTTGAAACACAATTTTACCAGTGATGCTTGGTTAGAAATAGCAAAAGCAACTTTTACTGCTTGTTATTACTCGGTGCAGCATTTCACCTCTTCTTCCCATTCATTTCATCATTTCATCAATACATGTATATATCGGACCAAGCAGAAACTACTCCGAGCCCTATCTTTTTATTTATGCTATTTTAATTTAAGACTGTTTGCAGGTAGCTAAAGTTAACGACGACAATAATGTAATGTGACAACGTGATAACAAAGGTAATATGATATCATGGCTACTTCAATTTAAGACCACTTACAGTTAGCTAAGATGACGAGACAATAACTATAGCGTGAGGCGACGAATATAATAAGATAACATAATGCCAGTGGCAGCAAGGATAATATAACACTGGTAAATAATCTTAATAATAATAGTAATAGTGATTATGATAATGATTGCTTATGATGTGAATGGTGATCTTATAATTATTCCAGCATAATTATAATAGTTTTAATGGGATTAGAATAATTAGCGAATTGTTATTGTTCGTTAAAAGCAAGCCGGTTAATGTGAAGTGGAAGATAATGATGTGACAATATCCATGACTACTGCCGTTAGCTATAACGATAGCTGGAACGATAATCGTCGATATTTGAACAGTTTGTCGTAATAATAATGATTATATTAATGAAAGTAATCACTATTGCAACGATAATGATGATAACAGTGGTATGCTGCTGATGAGAATGATGAAATCTATTTGAAAGTTTGAAGACGAAGAATAACTTCTCAACAGTGTCAAAAAGTTGAAAGAGTTCAATATATTCATATGATTTGCATAAATTGTTACTGATCAGAAAAAACAAGAAAATTGCTTGTTAATATCATTCCAATTATCAACTGCAAAATTTTAAGCTTTAAAATCGCTTTCTCTATGTACTATTTTACCCAAAATAGGACATGAAAAAAAAAAAAAAAAGATTCTGCAAAGTGAGCATGTTGTAACCGAGCCAAAATAACCGTAATGATTCCAGAAAATATATCATTTTTTAATTAATCAATCAATATTAAACGTAACTATGTAACATAAAAGTGGTGGAAAAGAAGAGTTACGGAAGGAATGAATATGAAAGCTTAAAATCTTGAAAATCAAAATTGTATTCAAATTGGATTAGATGTCAAATGGGCCGTATAAAAAGGCAGCTTTTGTCCATGCATACGATTCAATTACAAAAGTTCCCAGCTTTCACTATTCCCAAAAATATTATTATAAACATTGAGGAAACCGTCAAAACGATAAAAATATTCTAACCCCCTTGCAATCATTTAATGAATAATTTTCCAGAACAGAAATACATTGTAGTATGGGAATAAAATGTTAGTTTTAAAATTCATCCATGATAAACTTCAAAACTGTCTAAAAAAGTCTGATAATGTTTTTTTTCCTGAAATATAGGAATGCATCGTCATCATCCATCTTTAATGTATTCATAAATAAAGTTTTTTATCTAGTGTCTAGGCTGCCTAGGCTTACTTTTCGTCTACTGCCAGCATGCATAATAAGGAAAAAAAAGCTAGCCAACAGTTGTCAGATCCACTGATATTCATTGGAAATACTTATTTTATTTCAAAGATCAGTATTGAAAATAAATGGGTTGACAGTAAAGACTGTGATATCTCTAAGTGACTTAGTTAATCGATATACAAAATAGCTCAGGATATTTAAAATTTCAACCAATCTCTAAATTAAAGAGAATAATTTCCTATGAAATTTTCCAGATTAAAGGAATGTTTACTCATTATTGATCATTACAGTATTATTGCACGGAAAGTTAGCACTGGTACTCAGAAAGGATAGGATTGATGATAAAATTAGTAATTACTTTATTTCAAATTAAATGAATTCATTGTTTCATTTCAAATAATTTTATCTGACTGTGATGAAATGACTGTTTTCGAATTCCACTGTGGAGTTCTTATTGACATTGTGTAATATTTGTTAGCTGTGGGTGAAGCAGACATTACGCAAATAATCTTCAACCTATAATCTTAGAAACAACTTGACAGATTCACTTTGACAAATACTGTTGACAGATACAGTGCTGCTACTGACAGGCACAATGCAAATTTGATGTTCCAAGTGTTGGAAATGCTTGATCAACGGGACATAAATGATATTAAAAGCCTAGTATCGCTAATTGCCTTCCTCGGTAACGTAACATGTATCCATGATCACTCATCCATAGGTACAGTTTCCAATGCTTTGTCCTGGGTCTGTGGGCATACAGCAAAGTGCAATAAATAGTTAATTTGACCCCAAACTGAAATTTCAAGTTATCAAAAAAAAGTCAAGGTTATACCTCAAACCAACACAACAGCTGCTGCTACTTATGAATGCTAATAACAATATCACGGTGATAACTGATTGAGTGGAATAAGATTTAAGCTATCAGATTGCAAAATCTCGATCTAGCTATTATAAACAAAAACATTTAGCGGTAATAACGATTATAATAAATAAATGCGCATAACGTGGTCGACGAAAACATATTATACTGCTTGCAAAAATTAATGATATATTGAAGAGTTTTGCAAATTTCTGGAATACTAAAAAAATCAAACTGTAAATTAAAAATTCCTGAAATGTTCAATTTCGAAAAAACTGAAGAAATATGCAGGAAAAAATATGAAAAATGACAGAGCTAAAAGCAAAAGAGATATGCTAAAAAAAAAAAAGAATCGCAAATAACTTCCGGAAAGGGGAATTTTTTATTTCCAAAATACGTTCTATTCGCTTTAAAATCAACTTCGTACAATTGGTGAAAACTGGAAGTCTACCTATCTTTTATCAGGACTTCTTTCCACTTCTAGTAATTGAATTAAAGCTTACAAAAATACGAAAAAAAGTAGTTATTATCATAAGCCACACGTTATTAATACCAGATCTCATGTGTTGCAATTTTTTTGAAACTTTACAAAAATTTAGAATTTCCAATAACTGCATGAGCATTATTGTGTTTCGAGAATAGATGTAAAGTGATGAAAGAGTTTTAAAGAAACAGATGGATGTCGGAGATGAATAAAACGACATCTTTTTGATGTTGAATACTCAATCAATTTTATTGAATTTTATTGCAGTGAATAAACTCATGTGATGAAACTAATTAGTTTTCCGATAATTTGTTTTTTATTTTGGGTAATTTGTTTTAGCTGAAGTTTGCTAACAGTTTACTTCCGTTTTAACGTGCTTTTTTTGAAACGTAAAAAATAAATAAAAGACTTCCGTTCTTAAATCTAATTATGTTAAGTTTTTACTCTAAAATGATACAGCAATAAGTGGCAGGAAAGTCTTACTTCTACGAATATCATATGACGCTTTTTTTTCATCCAATATAACCTTAAATAATCATGGATTATCACTTAGAAAACAAAAAGTATATATCATTCCAAATTCTGCCCATCAGTTCATGCCGGGAATCTTTTTTACATTCATGTTACACTTTAGGAAACTGATGAAACGATAAGGGAAAGATCCAGATTTCTGTAAATGAGTATTTAAACTGAAACTTAAAATGCTTAAATTAAAATATATCAAAATTGTTTCCTGAACTCAGCATGCTACTTAACTTAGTTCCGAAAAAATTGTCAATAAAGACAGCTTTCAATATATTTGAATTTCTACAATGTTATCTGTTTAAGAAATCAACAGAAGGAGACAGGAAAAAAAACATTTGCTATAGAATGCATTCATTCCGGTTGAGAAAGAATTCCATTGCCAGAAGAAGGAAATGCTTAAAAGATTCATGGAACTCCAACAGTTAATTTCGCGGAAATATCTTGATGATTATTCTAAGCAGCAGTCAGGTAGTATTAGTCAACTACAAAAGTGGCTCTTATAACTCGTTGTAAAAAAAAAAAGTTAAAACTTTCGAAACCACCAAAAAATTTCCATTTCAACAGTGAAATTGAAGCTGCTAATGACAAATGCTGAAGTCGTATTTTTAACTACCAAATTATTTCTACCAGATGCAATAAGATATACGATACAGTTTATTATCGATTACGGAGAAGTAAATTCATTTCATGCCAAAGTATTAGCATTAACCAACTACAAAAGTTTTCAATTTTTTTTATAGTTTTTAATTTTTAATTTCAAATAATTTCAGGTTGCATTTTACATATAAAAAATCGTTTTACATAATAGAAACTGAAGAAGTTTCGAATGGCAATACAATAATCACAACAGTACAAATCTAAATTACGCATGCAAAATCAATTTTCTGCTATTTCCGTAAAAACTCAGCGAAACACCAGAAGTAGAAAAAAGAAAATAAAAATAAAGTAAAATAAACCTTTTTGGAAGATTTGAACACGTTACACTTAAATGTGTTTGATGCACCATCACGTGCAATATAAGAGAATATTTGTAGATCCTGAGAATCGTGAGATACATAAAAAACCCTGGAAATAAGATGATTTGATCTAAGTTGAACTTTTACTTACATTACATTTTTAATTCACGTAATTTCAGGTTGTATTTCACATATAAAAACCGTTTTACATAATAGAAACTGAAGAAGTTTCGAACAGCAATACAACAATCACAACGGTGTAGGACAATGATTGTCGCATAAAGTTTTACCGAATTTTTATCATTAGTTCTGTTTAGGAAAACTTCCTGACCTATATTTTTTCTTTTTTTAGGAGTGAAATTCATGATGATAATATTCCCTAATCATTCCGGAAAATAAAGCAGTAAATGTTAGAAAACTCCTCTGCCTTCATTATTCCCTTGTTTCATGGTCTGATCAGAGTGATCCAAGTCAAATGAAACTATCGGTCCTAAGTTTCATTAAACCTGTTTAAAAAAAAAAAAGGAAAAGAGAAGCTTCACAGCAGTGATTGTTCATTTTTTGAATTTGCTGTAAGATTTATAAAATTGATTTGTTTAGTTATAATGATGTTTGCAAGAGATGCATTGTATACCAATTTAGTTACAGTACCTATTTAAAAAGTTCCCCCAACACTTCTGATTTTCCCGGTATATGTGGATGGAAATAATGAGAGCATTTCGTATTTCGCGGGTAACTATTTGAGAAGTGATAAGTAAAAAGAAAAGCGATAAATAGATGCAAACCTATGGATAGGATGAAACATCACCAAAAGTTTGCTCTCGTCCCAAGTTGCCTCCTTTTGATTTTTCTAAAACATTTGCTGTGCCATTGCTTAGTATGGATTGAAATGTTTCATAATTAATAATTAAGACTTCATAATTAGCATAACTTCTCAATAGATGTCATAAGATTAAAGTATAACATCGATTTCTAGGAAGTCAAACATTTTTTATTTCTTTTATTTTTCTATTTTTTTGAAAGGGAAATATATTAAAAATGACCTTTTTACGGTGCAGAACAACTTTAATACCGTCAATAGAAACGGTAATATCAACGGGACGTTTCTTTATCCCTCGTGCTTTGAATTCGTACTGTAACAGTAAACAACAACAACAATAGTATCAATTGCAAACAAAACGTGGGATATTTTTGACGTGTCCCTAAGTGTCACCAATTATTCCTTAGAATATTAAGCTTTGAATTCGTACTGTAACAATAAACAACAACAACAATAGTATCAATTGCAAACAAAACATGGGACATCTTTAACGTGTCCCTAAGTGTCACCAATTATTCCTTAGAATATTATGTGAAAAAATAAATAAACTGTTTCATCGAAGAGATGAAATCCAAAAATGACCGATGGTAAAAGAAATTTTTGACCTTTGAGAAGAAAAAAATCAAAAATGGTTTCCTTTCCGATATGGTACTATTGCTAAACTCCTGTATAGAGTGAACATGGATATTGAAAGGAAACGTTATGTCACGTTATGCTACTTATTTTGCAGAACTGAACTTACCCGAACTCGACGCATTGCAGCGACAATTTCGATACGTGAACCGGGTCGTGGTATTTCCATACTTCCTACGTACTAAAATTGTAAACAAAAATTAATTTTACGTTTGATAAAATGAATTTCTTCAATACAATGAATGTCCATATTATTCATTTGAAATGTTTGAAAATCTTATCGTCCTGCTAGTTGACTTCATTTTTAGTATTTGTCATTAAATTAATTGTATTTGTTATGCAATGTAATTTTGAAATTTTCAAATCAATGCATAAGCTCCTCCAGCCTTAAATCAAATAATCAGTAATCAAAGAGTGATACGATATCAGATAACGGTTAAAAATAAATACAAAAGTAATGACAATGCCAAAATTAAAATTATGTTTCATAGATAAAGACTGGAATTAAAACTATGCCTTAAATTATGCTAGTTGCCCAGATAATGACTTTTATCACTGGGACTAAGTTTGTATCCACAAGAAATGTTTCGACTCATTTCATAATTATCAGTTTGGATTTTAGTAACAAAATAAAAACGAAACATTTTTTACTTGAAAAACGGAATTGGAAGTTGAATTTTATTTCATTTCTTTTTTATTTCGAGTGATTTGAACAAAATTTTTGCACTACAATTCACAGTTACATTTGTGCAAAACTAAAAAAAATTCCACAAATAAACTAAATGTTGAGTTCCGCTCCTCTCTGCAAACTATTGTTAGCTAGATGGCGGTATTTGTCCTTCTGATAAGTAGCACCTATTCTTCTTCAGCAATTTTTTAAAATACATAAAGGGATAAAGATAAGTTAAACTTGTTTTTAAGGTAACCTTTCAACCTTTAAAGATTGGAAGTAAAGTGTCATTTGTAATAATGAATAGCATATTAACTTTATGATGTTTTTATTCATAAATAGTGCTCATTTTTTGCTGAAAAAAAAAGAGTCTCTATGATGCCACTTTCCTTCACAATTTTAATACTTTCAATAATTTTTTTTCCTTAGAAAATGGAATGAATTTTGAAACTTTGCAAACTGAAAATAATCATTTATAAAAAAAGAAAGATGAAAGTGAAATTTAAAATCTATCAAACTAATGCTCGTTTAATTTAACAATTGTTCTGTCGCCCAAAATATTAATTGTTGCGATAATAAGAAGTTAATTTTTCATATTATCATAAGTTTCATCAACAATAGTTTATTTTCTTATGCCTTTTTTTTTAAACTAAATTCCTTCTATCATTCAGTTAACTGCTCTTCATAATTATCTTCTATTTATTTGTCAAATGAAAATAAATATTAACTCATTTAATTTGAAATTCTATAGCTTCCTACAAAATTTCAAGTTAATACGTTTCTGAGAAATTACATTATATTTCAATTTCGAATTTTTTTTTTTTTTGCACAATTACGCAAGATTTTGTCGTTTAAAGTAATGTCATCTTATGAAATGTCAAATCTTTGAGTTCCGAAAATTATTATTTTCAGAATTTTTTTTTTTGGGATATTTGAAATCTCCAAAATTGCAATATGTGCAAACAAAATTACATTTAAATTGTATTTTTTAAATTTGATTTTTTTTTTTAAATCTTCAATAGTAAAATCATAAAACAATAAGGGTAACCTTAGCATCAAAGTGAATGCCATGTTGATAGGCGAGTTCATTGTGTAACGGAATACGACAGTCGTAGAGATCCTCTGATATTATGTCATAAGATCCATGCTTCTTCTTACCCGGCATTCTATCTATTCTGGAAATTACAATTTATCACTAAATAATTAGATTAATTAATATAATCATTCCATTTTTATCAATTAATATATCCAATTAATAGCAATTATTGAGAAGATACTGATATGATGGTAAAGTGCTAAGAAGAATGGAAGATGCGCTTTTTGCGCCGAATTGAAAATGATTGTTGTTAAAGAAAAAAAAAAAAGTTAAAATGAGAATAAACAAATCAAAAGATGTACAAATAAATTTGTGATAAGATTATTTTTAATTTTTCTTTAAAAGATCAAAAAAAAAGAAATTATTAAAATGATAAAGCCATCTAAAAAGGCTTAATGGTATTATAATATCAAAAGTTTGTTAAATTTAATTAAATTAAATGATGTCTGACAAATAACACCTTTGAAAATTGATTAGTTTTTGCACTAATTCTTATCGTCAGTCTTCAATTTAGTAATTTCTGAGAAGCACAACTTTACAAGAAAGGATTCAACTGATAATTTTTGAGAAGCATAACATTACAAGAAAGGATTCAACTGATAATTTTTAAGAAGCACAACTTTGCAAGAATGGATTCAACTGATAATTTTTGAGAAGCACAGCTTCATAGGGAAGGGATTCAACTGATAATTTTGGAGAAACACAGCTTCATAGGGAAGGATTTCATTTTAGTAAATCGAATTCACGAAAATCCTCTTACAATTTAATTTCTTCGAATTATTCGGGCAATGAAACCTATTTTATGGGGAGTATGGAAATGGGAGAATCGATGAAGTGTTTGCTAATTAGCGGGGCGGTAATATATTAATGCAAATTTTTCATGCAAAAGCAAAGTAAGGAAAATTTTCAAGGTCGTCAAGCTAATCTAATTGCATAACTAGTGAAATTAGGCGAGAAATTTCATTTAATCGACCAAACAACTAACAATTTATCTTACGAAAGGATCTAACAATTTTTGGCAAGGATGAATATTCCAAATTGTCGTAAATCACTACATCAATGCAATGATTAGGCTTGACAATAGAAGATTTAACTTTAAAAAAATTGATTTAAAAATAAATTCTATGTGTTGTCAAAGGTCAAAAAGGTTATCACAGAATTGATTTTACCCGTCGAATACTTGTACAATCATTGAAAAGCGAACCGATTACATTAGACATTGTAGCTTAAAAAGAACTTTGAGCAATGAATGGATGGTAAATATGAATTTCAGTATAAAGCATTTTTATCTCATTTTAATTCCAGTTCATTTTTGTTTACAATTCTTGATGACAGCAAAAGGAAGTATGTAAAATGGTAATTGAAAAAAAAAGAAAAAAAAACTAAATAGAAAGAAGTGAGCATTCTTCTTTAAAAGAAATTGAAACGACAAAATTAAATTTTAGGGATATTGGATAATTGCGAATTAAAGTTTTAAAATTGGGATCGAAATGAAAACACGAAGTACAATGTAAATTCATAGGAATAAGCAGATAAATGAAATTAAATAAATTAAAAAGTGAAATTTCCAATTTCAATTATACAATTAGTACTACTTGATTGTAAATACAAAAAAGTAGAGCTGAAACATTGCAATGTTATCAGTTCTATCAAATATTTTAGGATTAATAAAAAATATTCGAAATTTGAATAACTCATTTCTGAAATGAATCATTTTATCTGTTTATAGAATAATAATCTAACATTCGTTTATTTTTTTTTCTTTTGCTATTTTCACTAAATAAATTGCATTTGCAAAAAAGGAACTCAATAATCAATCTAATAAAGATTTTGTTTTTTTTTTTTTTCCAGAAAGATAGGATAATTTAATTGTTTGTTGCAAGCTTAATTAGTGAAAAACTTTTTTTTTTTTGCAATTATCATGAAATTGAAGAATTTATTCTTTCAAAATGGAAGTACTTAACAAAATTTTCATTCATGCAATTTTTTAAAACAAATATTTCATTGCAAATACTTTTCTCATCCAAATACTTTCAGCATAAGGAGAAAGTATTTACAAAAATGATATCATTAATTAGTAAATTATAAGATTGATATTAGCTAATGAATTTTTGTCAATCTTTCCCATAATGGTTAATCAATACTTTTACAAATAGTTATCAATGTTTCAAGAACTTTTTAAAGCAAAAGGTCAAAACTTACAGAGATTCATGACTTGTAATAAATTCAAACAAACTAGACACAAGTAGACTAAGCCTATTTAATCCTTTAAAAGTTTATTTTATTACCTAAACGTTCTTTCTCAGTTCATCTATTATTTCATTTTTACTGTTCTATTATGCTAAACAATTTTCAAATCATTGACGAATGATTCAGAAATTAGTCAATACCACCCGATAAATTATTATTGATTGAAAAAATGGTGGAGAAATCACGGGAAGAACTTTGTGGGGGAAAAAAAAAAGCTTTCTAGAAATCATTTCCCAGCTATCGAATACATTTTATTACAAATTTAAAACAAACAAAATCTGAAGAATCTCCCATTTTCAAACATAATTTGAAATTAAAAAAAGAAAAAGCTAATATTGTTGAGATGAATATTTCTCCAATGAATTTATCGAATTTTCTGAGCAATAAAAGCTTCTCATAACATAAAAATTAACAAAATTCAATAGAAGAAGTTGAAAATTAAAATATTTTCAGTGAAAATTCTTGAAAGAGAGAAAGAGAAAAAAAGATAGGAAAAGGAAAAAAAGTAATTTTGAATATTTCTTTTATCACCTTATCTCTTATTTAAATTTTATCATGTCCTCAAAACAATTTAACTTATAACTTTGAAAATGAAAAATTTAATATTTTCTTATAAAGAATAATATGCAACAAAAAGAGAAATTGAAAATGAGAAATAATTTCAAAAAAAAAAACTAATTAACTATGAATAGTGTTAAAATACACAAACAAGGAATCGTAATTAGCATCGATGACATTTTCATTTACGTTTTTTCTTTATTTTTTTTTTTTAAAATTGCTTCTAATCCAAACAAATATATAATATTATTAGCACTTCTCACTTCAAATATTGTTTCTGGAAGTGTAGAGATGAATTTTTATTTTCACTAAAATTTGAAAATTGTTACTTTGGACAGGTGTTCCGCGATCTTTTCTTGACCACCGGCCACTTTGACTTTTTTTTTTTACAGCTCAAACTATAAGACTCAAAAATAATAAATTCCAATTAATTTGAGAATAAACATTAATATCAGAACTTTCAATGTAACATTATGATATAACCAAGAAGAGACATAATTTTTGAATACTTCTTATGTGTCTAAAGCAGTATTGCTCACGAAACACCAATGATCCGCGGAATACCGGTCGGTTGTTGCCAGTACTTTAGTTGAGGTAAAATAATCTGAAATTTTTACTAACAGCTTTTACATTTTATTTAAATTTAAAAATTACTGTTTTAGAAGAAAAAAGAGAGCAAAAGGAGAGACATACAATTACAAGAATTATTAAATTGCAATGAAAAGAACAGAAAGACAAATTTTTGATGATTAATAAAATTTGCAAAAAAAAAACTGTCAAAATTTTCTTTTAGTACTTATTTCATTCATTTCTTAAAAATGTAAAGTTGAAAATGTTAGTTTAATCAGTAATTTAAGAAATATGTATGAAACAAAAAAAGCGAAAAAAAAATTTAATCTTTATTTTTGAAACGGAAAACGAATAGCACTCACAAACACTTGCAGCAATCAATGAGAAAAACAAATGATTTAGATGAATGGATTTTCTCAGAAAGAATTGTGCCACTAAAAAAAAAAAATATATATATATATATATATATATATATGTGAATTATTAATATCACTAATTAATCTGTGATTTTCATAAAATTTTAATATCAAAATAAGTAATCTTTAATGTAAATTATATCATTGTCTTCTTGTGTTTTTTTTTTGCTTTTAAAATTTTTTTTTTAAATATTATTTTATTAATCAAATAAGATATTAGTTAAATGAAATTTTTATTTTTTCACTATTTGCAATTGCTCAAATTGATGAAGAATGTTTGGTGATACAATTGTAATGAATTTGAACATTGTTGATGAACAAGTATATCCGAGTACTTTGTTAATTCATCTTTTAAAATCAAGAAAAAAAAAAAGGAAGAAGCAAGTTTAATCACTCTTTTGCTTCCTATTCAAACAATCATAAATTTGCTTCTTCTTAACTTCCCCGCCGTTGATTAGAATTTGATTTTTGCGATTTTTTTCACAACTCTTTCATAATTGCGACATTTTTT